CATATACGATTTAAGTGCTATTCTTCACAAGTTAGGTTTGGATATAAGAGCTTAAGGTCTACAGGCTTGTTCCAGTGATAGAAGGCTTTGTTGGTGTGTGTGGAATGAGAGGCATGTCTATGCTGTGGCCTAATTACAGAGACTCTTTAAAACAAAGTAAACCAATGTTGGTGAATGCAATTTCTTGAACTCACCTAAGAGTCCAAGTAAAAATAATATTCTACATTCATATGTAAAAGTATGTTAATATAGTATTTGCTCACAATTGGAAAATAGAAACATTCTAAAATTAATGACCCTCCCACAATGTTAGCTGGCTGTGGTCACACACTCAGCGCAGGACGGAGTTAGAAGCTTCTCTTTCTGACGGTGAAACTTCAAGCTGCCAGATGTAAGAAGAAAGAGGTCATTGCGAGAGGACGCCTTGGGGGGCCCTCATTCCACGGGGACTTACATCACCAGCGTGTACGTGACCCTTTTTATAAGGGTGTCATGGAAACATCAGCACTCAAGTGGCGTGTTTATTTGAAATAACATTTTCTATGGAAAAGCTGGTTCTTCTCTTGTGCTAAATAACTAGTGAGACATTATTATAATAGTCATTATTTCTATCCTCTACATAATTTCAGAATTTATAAAAATGCCTACTTACTACGATTCTTTCTTACTCATTTGGGAGAGTGTGTCATAATCGATAAAATGTATCTAAAATTTTTTTTAAAAGGAAGGTGAGTTTTTAAGGAAAAATATGTTTGGGCTCTTCAGTCACAATGTCACTTTAATGAAGGAGAAGGGAAACTAGTAAAACAAATTGTGAGGTTTCGACAAATGTAGGAGCATTGGCGTTGCTTTGTTGGTTCATTACTAATTCCTTTTAATGCCATTTCTACAGATTAAAAATTCGTGGGTGAGCTAGGGAGTAATTACAAGGAGACCAAGACACAGAATGGCTGCTTCAGAGAAACCTTCTGTGAGATGGTCCCATCTCACACCCTCTGCAGAGGAGAGAGCCTTGGAGCATCACAGGGCTCGGTCTTCTCTTAGACACAGTGGATCGGGCCAGACTAAAGCCTCTGACCATGACCTTGACCAAACACACTGCCTTCCTGGTTTTAGAGGAGGAGTGGGAGGGGAGTTGGGTAGGGAGATAAAAGAAATGGACAGGGAGAGAGAACTGGAGAGTTCAGCCGGAGCCCCTGCTCAGCCTCGAGGGAAGTGAACCTGGAGAGAGAGGCAGTCCGACTGGGCTGGGTCCAGAATTAAGGACATCGCCGTCGGCCTGTCCTCAGGTTGCGTCACCTCCACCACGTTGTGGACGTATGAAAGTGTGTGAGATGGTCACCTCCCAGAGGTTGTTTCCCGGTGTGAATCTGGGGCTGAGGATGAGTACTCGGTGGGGCTGTTCTGGTAGGACCTTTCGGGCTTTGCGGTGATGGATCCAATGAACCCTGTGCAGTCTCTGGAGTATGAGGCTCAATACACAGAGACTCTCATCCTCTTGGTCTCTGCCTTCGCCCTCCCCCAGCTTCCTGCCGCCCCTGCACACCTTGCTCCAGGGTTGTTGCTGACTTGGGGGTGCCCGGACCACTGACGTATGCTCTGGTTTCCTTTTATAACACGACTCTCTCTTGTTCTGACAGTGTCTAGGCTGCGTCCGATGAAAAGGTGCTGTGCTTCTCTTCTCTGGTTCAGCCTACCAGTCAGTCGTTGGTGTCGTCACTGCGAACAGGAGATGACGAAGTGGGGATGCACAGGCGTCTCCAGCTTTCAGGGGCGTGTGTCCAGGCCCCGGGGCTACTGCGGAATCCCTGCCAAGGGGAGGTGGTTTCAGAGCCCGTGCCCAACTCGGAACCTTATTTTCAAGGAGTTTTTTTTTTTCTTTTTGCAAGTCACACCAAATCAGTCTTCATTCTTTTCTGCTCAGGAAAGTTGGTTCTATATTCATTCACTCCAAAATCCTTCTGACTCTCAGGAAACTGAAGACAAATAAAGCTCAGTGTTCCCTCCTGCCAGGCTTTCATTCTCCCATTGCAGTCATTAACGACAGTCATTAACGACCAAGACACCGTCAAAGGAATTTGACAGTGTGTGCGGCAAAGTCATTAATTAATACAGAATTAGAATTCAGGTCTTTCCTGGAATGCACCAACAGGCTCTGCATCAGTTTGAGTTCAATAACTAGAGTCGCTTTAGGCATATCAATAAAAGAAATTTCTGCCAAAAGACAATATAAAAGTACCAAGAAATGTGCTGGGAGTCATTTCTCTTGTGTCAGTGTAGTGAAATAGTTTCTGGAGTAAGTAAATCAGGAGCATGGTAGTACTTTACTGTCAATGTTTTGATTTTCTTTGTTTTCTTTTAAGACTGGATTTAAACGTTTGATATAAAGCAGACTTTTAATTTCCCTTTTTCAGAGATAATATTGAAAGGTCACTTTCTGGGTTTTAGGGTTTTGGGAGATGACTCATCGCACCGCCGCCGTCTCACTGGCTTTGAAATCCAATTTCCGGTCACTGTGGTGCATTTTAGTTTGGCAAACATGTATCTGTTTTCATGTGCTGTAATAGAGATTATTTTTATTGCTGGTTCCCATGTTGCTGGTAGTGGATCTTCAGAACACTCCATCAAATAGATAAAAAGAGCATGGCATACTTTGATGAAATGTGCTGTTTGCCCCATAACAAAATTCCTGGTGGAGATTATAAGAGATCTGGGAAGTTTCTCAGCTTATTACTTTCAGCTTTATCTTGGTGAACGCATTGATCAATTAATTTATTTATGTTACCGTTTCCTTACTGGTACGGATGACTACGGTACATTGAGAAAGGTGAGCATTCTCTGGGGCTCACTTTGTTCCCCAGAAACGCAGCGGCAGCCAGTGGGAGACAGGCCAAAGCCGGGGCATCTGTGATGGAGGACCTTTCCCTCTGCGTCACAGAGCTTTCTCTCTCGGTGATCGAACGTGGGGGGACTCTTGTGCCCACAGAGACCCTTGCAGAGCATTTGCCTGGGTGATCAGTGTGGCTTCAGGGCCAGAGCAAAAAGACAGTCCTCTGATAAAGGGCCATTTCCTGGGGAAAGGCCATGGGCCACCCTCTGCTTTGGTTGCAGCTGGGCCCGGTGGAGCTGGCCTGGCCTGGCCTGGCCTTAGCAAGGGGTTAAGAGGCCCCGGGAAAGCTACTCGGTCCGGATTCTTTGAGGCCCAACCATGACCTCTGGGCTCACCATCGACTAGCCTGGAAATCCCCACGTAGAATCGTTTTCACTTGTAACTAATAAATATTTGTTGAACACCTATTCTGTGTTTCAAGGCTGTCTAACTTCCCCCAAACAAACTTTGTGTTTATGTATTGATTCATTTCCCCAGACAGAAAGTTAGGTGTTATCTTCAACAGGGGGTCAAAAGGGCCCAAACTCAGAGAACACTTAAGGTGTCGTTTCTCCGACCCCTGGTAAAGCCTCCCTGAAAATCATTGTTAGAAGCATTTGTTCCATTCTTTAAAATCTCGGAACGTTGCTATTATTGATTTTCTTCATAATGCTTTAAGGAAAAAAAAAAACACTTTTCCTAAACGTTTATAAATTCTACTTGGGAAATTAGGAACTGTTTGTGTTCCAAGGCTTTCCTTAGTCCTGTGGACACAGAAACCGTTTCTATGGTGTTTGTTGTGGAAAACATGAGGACAGGCTCAAAATGGAGTCACTTAGGCTAAGGGCTGCAACCCAGCTGAGACTCAACTTGAGAGTTTCAGCTCTTCGGAAATGGATCTTACGCCTGTCAATCACGAGTTGTCTGATTGGTGCTGGTGAGGTCGTCTGCCTGATGCAGACAGGCCTCAGGACAGTGGCTTTGCCACAACCGGCTGCGGTGGGGAAACTTCCTTCTCTTGCTCTCTGCTCCCAGTGAAAAAGTCTTCCCTTCTGCACAGTTCCTCTGAGGTCCCGGCTGCTGGATTGGGTGCTGCCTGATCCATGGGGTCGTTAAATAAAGCCAGTGAGATCTTTCAAATGCATTCAGTTGGATTTCATTTTTTAAGAGAGTGGTTTTTAATTTCTCCAAAGTTATTATTTTATTGGTTTATAAGGAGCAGCAAATGCTTATGGGAGCATCAGTGGTTTCCGAGAGAAGAACCCGGGTAGAAAATGATCAGGACCGAAAGAGCCCCTGGCTCACCTTTGGGACGAACCGATCAGCTTTGTAAGCCTAGAAGCGCCCTGCACTGACTTGATCAAACACACTAGAACGAGATTGCGGCGTTATTTTATTGCTGCCATCGTGGGTTCCACCGTTTGAATGTCCCCTCGCGCCACCCCCTCCTCCGCCCAGGTGTGTTTGGAAATGCGCGAGGTCAGGTGATTTTCAAGCAAGAGTGGGCTCAGGAATAGTGTTGTTTCGGGAAATGTCTAACCAGGAGTTGGCACCATAAAAAAAAAAAAAAACCCAAAATCTAGTTCCTACTCCATTTAAATATTAGAGAGTTCGCGACAAATTTTGAATTAAATTTGGAAATGGATTGGGGGACGGTGTACACTCCCTCTCTCTGAACGTTCAACAACATTCTTAGGGGTTCCCTACGACTTCAGACCTCTCAAACCGGAAAAAACTAAGTAGCAGCAGTCAGACGTGGGAGGGACCCCCACTTCCTGGCGCCCAGGGCTGTTCCCAGGGGTCCGGAGCGCGGTGAGGCCCACAACCCAGGAGTAAAATCCCCGGCTGGCACTCGCCCTGTTTTCCGAGGGGCAGACCCAGCGCTGGGCGGGGCGCGCGGCGGCCGGCGCCGGTGGAGGCCCCGGGTCAGCCCCGTTGCGGGCAGCGCTCCCGGGCGCGGGTCCGAGCCACCGCCTCGGGGCCAATCAGCGCGCGGCGCCCGGCGCCCCTGCCCGGCCGGCCCGCGCCCCCGCCGGGGCAACGCCGGCAGCCGCGGCTGGGGCCGAGCCAGGGCCGGGGCGAGGAGGGGCCGAGCCGCGGGGGATCCTGGAATCGGCGGGGAGGTGGGGATTCTGGGAGGGAAGCTCCATTTCCTCCTTCCCGCCGCCGCGCCCCTCCGCCGGCACCCCAAATTTCGACGCGCCGCCTCCCGCGGCGGGAGGATGCTGGGCATGTACGTGCCCGACAGGTTCTCTCTGAAGTCGTCCCGCGTGCAGGACGGGATGGGGCTCTACACGGCCCGCAGGGTCGCAAAGGTGGGTGACCGGCGGCCCGCGCGCCCCGCCCGCCCCGCGCGCCCTCCGCGGGCCGGGCCGCCGGCTGCTCGCCCGTGGTGTCGCCGAGCCGCGGGGTCCCGGAGGCCGGGGGCCGGGGTCCCCGCAGGGCGGCCTTGCCCGCCAGCGTCCGGGCGGCAGCGCCACGTCAGTGCCGGCCTCGCCCGGCTGCCGGGTCGGGGGGCGGCACTGCCCGCGGCCCTGCGGCAGGATGTCTGTCCTCCCCCGGCAGGAAGTGTCCCCGCGCAGCCTTCCCTGCCCGGCACCCGCGCGACCGCGGCTCCGCGAGGGCTTCTTCGTCCGTGGGGCGGGGGTCCCAGGGCGCACGCGCACCCCCCTCCTTCCTCGCCTCCTTTGGGACACCCACGCGCGGCCCGCACCGGCCTGAGTCTCGCTCGGACACCAGGGGTGCTTTCCCTCCCGCGGATTCTGGGAGCTGCAACTGCACGGTCTTTCTTCTCTGACGAGGTCTCTCCTCCCAGAAACTTAGAGGCAGTGGAGCCGGGCGAGCACATGGCACTGTGCACGCGGGTGGCCTGGGAACTCTGACTCTTGAAAGCAAAGGCCTAGGAAGAGAGAGGACTGGAAACTCCCAAACCTTCGGGTTCGCAGTCCTGGGCTGCAGCCCTGTCTCCGGCAGGGGTGCGGGTCCGGAGGGCAGCGTTTCCGGAGCAGACGCTTAGTGCCCTGGCGCACCAGGTGCTCCGCCGGCGCGAGAGACGCCACCAGCCCACGGATCCCGGGGAACAGTCCTCGAGTGAAGCTGCGGCAGCAGAAGTACTGCAGGGTCCGATTTCCTGCCCGGCTAGTGAGTTAGGCCTCGAATCCGCGGCTTCTGAGTCCGGAGCTCACGTTCTTTCCAGATGGTTCCCTGTCAGCTTCCCAGCACCCCCACCCCACCCGCGTACCGGATATTTTCACAAATGGCAGTTTGGGCAAGAGCAGGCTTGTGCGTAAGGCATGCTGTCAGGAGGGCCTCGGTGCACCAGAGACGCCGGGATGCATTCTCTGAGCGTGGGTCTCCCCCACCCCTCACCTCAGAGCAGGGGAAGAGGGTGGTCGAGGCCAGCCTTTCCCTGGCTGCAGCCTCCAGGGCGGACTGGGAACAACTTTCTCAAACGGGGGTTTGGAAGAACGCTGGAGGGGCGCCCCCGGAGCAGGCAGCCTCCGTGAGTTAGAGGCGCACTGAGGAGACGCTATTGCCATGGGTGGATGGGCGTTAACATCGCCACTCTTTGAAAGCAGGCGCTGAAAATCTGCTTTTAGTTCTTTTTCACCAGGTAGGAAAATTCCCACGTGGATTTTTCTCGAAGATCTCAGCCTAAATGTAAATACTTAAAAGTTAAATACAGTCCTTAAACAAGATTTTGTTTAATGTTATTACAAAAAATATGCTAAAAAGTTGTGTAAATATTAGAGAATTATCACAAAATGCCTATTTCTTGCCTTATATTATTATGTAGTTTTTTTTTAGAAATAGCCGGCCAATGTGCTTTCTTTCGATGTATTCATTGATTCCAACTTGTTTGTCCATGTCAACGATCACATGGACGTTTCCAGTATTTGGGGGCATCACATGAACAGCTCCCCACGTCGTCACGTGACTCCACTTTGCTCTCTTGGCACCGAACGCACACGTCTGTTTTTCCTGGCTCCTGGGACTTCCATGTGTAAAACACCGAGATTCCCACCCACACACATCCGCAGTGCTGACCTGTCCTTCGGGTGAATCTGCTGCAGGTGTGTGCGGAAAGTCCAATGACAGCCTGCGAGTGACACAGGCCTATTTTGATCACGAGCTGCGGCATCCTGAAGCCATGGGTCACAGACGGGCTCCCTGAGGCCAGATGTGATCTCGGACAGGCCTCGGCTCCCCTACGGTCCGCAGGCTGAGGCGGGGGCTGCAGCTGGATTCAGACTTCGGGTGAACGGAAGCCTGATGTTGAGCGTCCCTACACCTTTTACCTGTTTGCCTGTGGTTTCTTGATTCCTAAGTGTTTCCCAAGTCACCTGCCCTCGGCCTGCCCCAGCGATGTTCTGGGAAGAGGAGTTCAGCTGTTAAGTGAGGGACCCGAATGTAAAGATCTCATGTTCTCTGGCCAGCTTTTCGAGGAGATCACTTTAGATGCCCGAACTCAGAGACTCTCAGCCTGCCCTGTCCTGAGGTGCTGGGCTCTTGCTGCCGGGTCTGGGTTCATTGCCGGCTGTTGGTTTTCCTTCCCTCTGACTTTGTCACACGCAGCGGGCCCTTTGCCAGGCTCTGGGGGCACAGGGGAGCAAATGGACAAGGTCTGTGTCCACAGGAGCTTGTCCTGCGAGGGGCGATGGGCGGTGAGCAAGTGAATGCGGGAAGATCCACACAGGGATGGAAGGGCCGGTTGTGCCAGGCACCGTACGGGGCCGCGGCACTGCAGAGTCCCAGTAATGTTCTGTCCGGTCAGGGGGCGGGAATGTAGACGGTGCCCATGCCCACGACGACGGCAGGAGGCTGTGAGGCTGTGCTGAGATGAGACTGCAAGAAGGTGGCAGAAAATGCTGGGGGTTTGCAGAGGCCTCACGGAGGAGCTGAATCGCATGGGGTCACGCTGTTGTTATTAATACTGTCTTTATTATCGAGCTTTAACTGTAGTAGAGGCATTATTTTCTTCACCTCTTCTGTTAACACTGCGGAGTAGGCACTAGATGACACCCCTGCTCACCTGAGGCAGCGAGGGCGGCCATGTGAGACATCGTGTGTTGCCTGGGTGACACAGGACGAGTGGTGGACCCGAAATGCTAACTGCGGCCAGCGAGTCTGCCAGGATTTGGGGCTCCCAATGCGAGTGGACGGGGCTGCGTGGTGTGTTGGTGGGACTGCCGGGAACTGGGGGCGACCCGAAACTGCCGAGCTCAGTCACGTGTTTCGAAGTCTGCGTTTTCTGTTTTCTGTGCCCGGGCGTGTGTTACCTCCTTTTATTGTACAGCGGGCTTCAAAGTTCTAATTACTAACCCGATTTACTGATCACGTACTCGATTGCTTATTACTTCTTGGCAACTTGTTTGCAATGGTCCTATGTTGACTTTAAAAATTTTTCTGCTTTCCAATCCATTCTTCACTAGTGAACTAAAACCTTACCTGGTCTTCAGATATGTTTAGAAGCCCTTTAAGTTGCATATGGTTAGCATAGCTGAGCTGGGTTTTCTTCTGTAAAATGGATTGTTTAAAAGAACTAAAGACTCAGAGGAAGGGTGAAGAAAAGTAAAAAAGGAAATAACTAAGTATCCGGGAAGTACAATATGGTGCCTCCCCCAGGTTTCTGGTCCCCTCGTTCCCCTGGAGGCAGGGAAGGGCATTGCCGAGCCCCTGGAGCGCAGAGCTGGGTGCACGCTAGGTTCAGGGGACTGCCTGGCTGGGCCCCCCTCGTCCCTGGCTTCTTTCCCTCCCAGACCTCTGCTGCTCAGCGCAAGGGGCTCCTGCCCATGACCCTGGAGCTATCTCCCACTGCACTCGGCCTTTCTCTGGAACAGACGCAGGTCCTAGTTTGAACTTGCCAGACACCCTCCGTGTTTTTCAGGATAAAGCATGGCATTTAGTGGCGTAACACAACACAAACGTATCACACTGCCGTTCTGGAGAATATACATGTGAAATGGGTGGCAGGCTGCCCCTTCCCTGGCCCTCATCGATGTCTTGGACACTGCTCCTGTCCTCTGCTCAGGGTCCCACAGCCTCCAGCCTCTGCCTCCTCCATGAGGACCCTGTGGTTAGACCAGGCCCAGCCAGAAACCTGGGTCCCTACCAGAGACACGTCGGCAGAGGCCCTTTCATTAGTGCCGTGTGAGGTGACCTGCTGCTGGGTTCTCAGGGTCTGGTCGGGGACGCCTTGTTGGGCTGTCACCCTTCCCTCCACTGCCCGACGCACAGCTCCTCCTCTCTTAGCTCACTCGGAACATTTCACAATGACCAGCCGGGGTGAGTCCCCACGTGCCGGTCCCTGTGCACTGTACCCACTGCAGGTCCCCCGTGGGATGGGTGCCTCGTTCTCCGACGGGTTCTGGTGGTGGTCTCAGCAGCAATGGTTTGAAGAGGTTCGGGAGCGATCTCCAGTGCATGTCCTCAGGCTGCGGGTGGAGACGCGGGAGCCCAGAGCAGCCCTGTGAAGTCCGGCTGAGAACCGTCGCCCACACTTCCGCAGTCCCCGTGCCCTGTCTGCCCAGCGGGGCCAACATCTTGATAGGGGACTTGCGGTTACATGACATGTAACGTGTTGTGGGGTCAGGGAAAGTCTCAGGGAAGGACACCTGACATAAAGGTTTAAATTTGAGCTTTTGAAAACACAGTAAGCTCAACAAGACGCAAGGTGGACACGGTCAGAGAAACGTGGCGAAGAGGAGCCACGAAAGGAAAAGGAAGTAGACGCATCCCGGGGGTAACGCGCGATGCGTCAATGTGTGTGCAGGCGAGAAGGCGGGGCTCTGCGGAGCGAGGCGCTTGGTGGTCAGCTCTGATTTGAAGGTGACTCTGGGAAAGAAACGAGGGGTCTCTGTGCTGGGGCTGAACTTCCGCCCGTGGGTGTTTGCTTGCGTTTCCCGGTGGCCGATGATAACTAGTCTGGAAAGTCACCGGCCAAGCCTGCCACGGGGGCCTGTCTCCTTCTGGGCCCCAAGGTGGCGGCTCCATCCAGCTTTGCACGTCGGGGGTTATTACAGATTTAAAAAACAACAAAAAACTGTACAACCAATCCACTTAAACTAAAGTTTCCTTTGAAACTTCCTAGTTTGTTTATTTGTGATAATAGCAGCTACAGTTAATTCTTTGAGCAAATATTTGTGGAGCCACAGTCTTGTTCGGCACTGGGCTGGCTGCTAGGGACACGGGGTGAGTGACAGGATGACAGTCACTGGCTGTGTCACACGGTTTGAATTTAAGTCCTACGCAGGCCTGTGGGGGAGGGGTGGCTGTCCGTGTTTTACAGGTGGGGGGCTGATGTGGAGGGAGGTCG